AACGGCAGCTTGAAGAAAGACAATAGACACCTGTAAAAGAAAAAAATTACACGTTGACAAAATGTAAAGAAAAGCAATGTGGGACGGGGTAGGGGACGGATATATGTTATGGTGGGAGGCAGAACGCCTGGGATTGCTGGTTGCATGTACTTGCTCAAGCAGCATTCTATATATATATATCACAATTTTGCTTTAGAAATCCCAAATGTGTTTTTGAGAAACAGTGCGAGGGCTGAAGCATGGTTAGGTGTAAACTAGTTTATCATGATCATAAACTTGCGCGGCATCGACCGCACACTCTCCTCCCTCACCCGCCTCACCCCAGGGTCAAAACACAGTCAAGAAGACCGGAGGCGGGAGCGGATGCGGGACGTCAAATCTTACTGCTGAAGACTATCAAAATAGAGGAATTGATTACCGCAAAAAAGTGTCAGGCGTTATGTTACTTAGTAGCCTGAACACGCATGCGTGCACATTCCGCCTACGAAAATAATTGGAATTCAAGAAATATCGCAGATGTAGACAAGACCCTTACGACACGTCAACTGCAACTGCTAAGGAATGTAAAACAGTTTCTACACCATCTGTAGCCACAGTGAACCAATACTTGTTTTATAAAATTTTAGTGACAACAACAACTATGGCGCGCACAACGGACAAAGACGCAAGCTTATCTTGCAAAAGGTGGAGGAGGCTAAATCCGTCGTTTTATTTATTAACTCTAGGGAGACCAGTGTTTTTGATCTGCGTTGCTGGCCAGAGGGTATCCCTCGGGATTAGAGACTGTAATATTCTAGAAGTGTACAGCGACAGAGTAGTTGCAGTGTGGAACGGTCTGCCAGAAGATTATGCTCTCTGCACCTTTGTGAGTTCATTTAAGAGCAAGCTGGACATGCACGAAGCTGTTAATTCACTAACTACGCGCCAATATATGTGATCATTTCAATTATATGTTATTATATTACTCTTAATAAGTCAGTGGTCGTGTATGTTTAAACTTTTCGATTAACCGACCTTTTTTACGGACGGTCTGCGGTCGCTGCAGCAGCATCTCGAGGATACTTCAGTGTTTATAACAACGAAATTGGCCTCGAAGGTCGACTAGTGTGATCATTTCAAGGTAGACATATAATTTGTCGCCAGTTATTCATGGACGCTTGCCCTTCACGCACGCGCAAAATACGCGTATGATGCTCGGTTAATCGGCCGATTAGAGCTCGAAATAGTAGCCACTTCAATGCTCGATACAAAAATCGGGTCGAGCACGAGCGCTCGAACTGTCGACCTTGCACCATGGTGCATTTGATGTGTCAGTAAGCGTTGTCTGAAACTCCAGAAATTGTAATTTGTACCCATGTAAGTTGATTTTTAACGCTCTCGTGGGTGATAAAATTGACTTATTGGTGTCACTGCCCTATTACTACCATCTCTCTATGTATAAAACCATACAAGAACAAGAAGTTGACAATTACATGAAGGGCAGTGAAGGCACGTTCGGCCGTCATAGGAACATTAGTTGGCTGAATTCTGTGTCCAATCGCGTCTGGAGTCACATCGTCAAGCGCTGCCTTCGAAGCAGCACGGAGTTGAGAAGCCTTGACGGGAAGAGCATTCCTTGATAGGTTCATTTCTTCCATGTAGTCAACAATTTGTCGAAGTGCAATGGCTCGCTTGATTATCCGGGAGAATATAGCAGTGGTAGGATGTTCGTAGGCGTAACCCCCAACGAAACGCGGCTGTTAAGATAGAAAGGAAATGCACTTAGGGAAATAAATAGCTGAACTGCAAATGTCAACAACCTAAAGCACAGGCGTCGACCAAAAGTAAAATAAAATCGACCAACAAAGGCATCGAGAAAAGCAAATACTAGTTATTTGAAAAAGCAGAGGCCGGACGCTTTTATACCTAGACTAGCAATTTTTTTAAAACAGCTTAAAATTTGAGCCGTACAATTAACAGAAAAGTTTACAGGTTTTTCCTTTCGACTGGCGGAGGCCTTTTTCAGTTGTCATTATGTATGCAGAATGGCATAAGGTAAAAGCTTACCCAACGACAGAACGAGGGCGAAACTGGCATGACCTCCATGAAGAAGATATCCGTAGGATAGCGCATCTTTGTGGATGCCGCATGTACACAAGGCATAAGGATTCGAAGCATTGAGGCTTCCTGCATCCACAGGCATCGAAACATGTCCCGTATAAGTTCTGTGAAAAAAAAGATATTTTATGAACGATAATAATAATCACTTATTATTATTTATTTGTTAACAAATTATAGGCACGGAAAATGGCTTGTAAACACCCAAGATCGGACAATTATATCAAAAATGGAATATCACCAATCTTCGCGGACATTTTGCATGAGAATAAAGGGAAAACTACGTCTATATGACCGTAATCGGAGATGAGCTTAGATTGCGGTTGATTT